TACCATCCCTCTCCCTTTTCCTCCCTCCTTCCTCTCACCTTTCCCTCTCTAACTACCCTCTTCCTTCCCCTCACCCATTCCCCTCACTTTCCCTCTTCTCTTTATTTCCTTCCCTTCCCTTTCCTTTCCTTTCCCTTCCCTTCCTTTCCTTTCCTTTCCTATCCTTTCCTTTCCTTTCCTTTCCTTCCCTTCCCTTCCCTTCCCTCCCCTTCCTCCTCGTCACTCCCCTTCCTCTTCCTCCCTCCCCTTCCCCTATCCCTCCCTCCTTCCCCATCCTTCCATCCACATCCACTCCTTCCCCCCTCTCCTTCCCCCTCCCCCTTCCCCCTCCTCCTCCCCCTTCCCCTTCCCTTTCCCCTTCCTACTTCCCCTCACCCCCACTCCCCTTCCCCATCACCTATCCCTCCCTCCTTCCCCTTCCCCCTTCTCCCTTCCCTTCCCCTTACCCCCCAAAAAAGACGACAGGTGCAGGAACCCCCTTCCCCCTCCCCCCCCCCCAAAAAAAAAAAAAAAAAAAAAAAAAAAAAACACCACTCACAGGAGAAGTTGATTTTGCCGCAGAGGAACCCACACGACGGCAGGTGCAGGAAGTCCGTGCAGGCGCCGCCGAAGAAGGTCATGACGGGGTTCTCCATCTCGAAGTTCACCGTCTGCATCTTGATCCCGCAGACTTCTTCGCCCGATCTGGGGGGGGAGGGAGGGAGAGGGAGGTGAGAGAGGGTGAGGGAGGGAGGGGAGGGTGAGGGAGGGAGGGAGGTGAGAGAGGGTGAGGGAGGTGAGAGGGAGGGAGGGAGAGGGAGAGGGAGGAGGGAGGGAGGAGGGAGAGAGGGTGAGGGAGGTGAGAGGGAGGGAGGAGGGGAGGGAGAGGGAGAGAGGAGTGAGTGATGTGCTAGGGAGAAGAGGTGAGGGTGAGGGAGGGATGGAAGGTTGAGGGAGGGAGGGAGGTGAGAGAGGTGATGAAGGTGAGAGGGAGGGAGAGAGAGGGAGGGAGTGAGGTGAGGAGGGAGGGATAGGAGATGGAAGAGAGGGTGAGGGAGGTGAGAGGGAGGGAGGGGAGGAGGGTGAGGGAGGGAGGGGCAGAGGTGAGGAGGAGGGAGGGTATGGTGAGGGAGGGAGGAGGTGGAGGGAGAGGGAGCGGGATAGAGGGTGGGTGAGGGAGTTGAGAGGGAGAGAGGGGAGGGGTGAGGGAGGGATGGTAAAGCAAATCGGAAAGAGGTGAGGAGAGGGGGAGAAGGTATCTGAGGAGTGAGAGGGAGAGTGGTTAGGGGAGGGTGACGAGGAGGGAGGGGAGGGTGAGGGATGGAGGGATGTGTGAGAAGGGAGAGGGGGGGGAGAGGGATATGGAGAATTCCGGGGGAAGGAAGGGGTGACGAGGGTGGAGGTGCGGAGGAGAGAGGGATGTGAGGGAAGTGTAGGAGGGAGAGTGGTAAGGGAGGGATAGTAAGGGAGGTGAGAGGGTGAGGGAGGGAGAGGGAGGTGAAGGAGAGAGGGAGACGAGGGAGGGAAGGGGGGGAGAGAGGTTAGGGAAGGAGATACAGATACAGCTATAGATCTAGATAGAAATATAGTTAGATATGTAGATACACACATATATATATATATATAAAGATAGATAGATCGATAGATAGACAGATAGTCAAACAGATATAGATATAAATACAGTAGATATATGCAAGACCAGATTTACATATATAAGGTCTCTTAACCCAGAGGAAATCCTAGCTGAAGTAAATCTTGAGAAATAATTGTATTTTACAGCATTGTGTGAATAATTTTTCAAGAAAATGAAGAGCAAAATATGTAGTTTCAAGTATATTCATTTTCTTTTCAAAAGTATGTAACGGCTAGATTTTGTTAGGAAAAAAACGGGCTTTATTTGTTAAACTTCCTTTCAGGGAAATTGTTACTAAGTGAATTTCTTAAAAAAAGGGGTGGGCTATAAAACATATTTTTACTTGTTTTTGTAAGAGGTGTCAGGCATACATAAGGGTAAACTACTGGCTTTACCTGTATATGCACAGGTAAAGCAAGTAGTGATTGGCATATCAGTTAAATATATATAGATAGATAGATAGATAGATAGATAGATAGATAGATAGATAGATAGATAGATTTATACACATACACACACACACACACACACACACACACACACACACACATACACTCACACACACACACACACACACACACACACACACACACACACACACACACACACACACACACACACACACACACACACACATTATATATATATATATATATATATATATATATATATATATATATATATATATATATATATATATATATATATATATTATATATGCACTTACAAGCAGACAGCCATCCCCAGCCAACCCCGCCCCTCACCTGATAAACTCGTAGACACAGTCCAGACTCTCGGGATATTTCTTTGGGTAATAGGGCGTGTTGATTGTCCCCCGCGAGTCCGTGATGCGGGTGTAGCACGGTGCCCCCGACGTGCCTGGTATTG